TTTAATTTATGTATTTTATAGCTTCTCTCCTGCGCGCAGTTGCCATTCGTTTTTCCCGTTTAATAGAAAAAGAAAATGTAAAAGAAAAAGGCAGCGGCTGTTTTTCATTGAGTGTATATGCAGACTGCAGAGCTAATGGACCCACGTAGCTCAAGAACACTTTGGCCATGCACCATATTTATGTTTTCAAGAAGAGCGGATTTATTTCCAAATTTTAATCCCATTAAACATATGAAGAACGGTAGGAAAGAATTCCTAAAATGCTGTCAGGAATCGAACTGAACACCTTGCACCTTCAGGTACACACATGTCGTTATTGTGGTCAATTAAAAAATGGATCCCTGAATATTAGCGACAATCTGTATAAGCCTAAAGAAAATGAAAACAAGTGAGTGAGCCTTTTGAACAAAACGAATATGTGACGTACGGATTCGGAAGATGAGATTTAGGGGACGCTTGATACAGGAAGAATACTTGGAAACCCTTTCAATGACTGGAAAATCGAGGGAAAGAGGGCTCGAGAAATCAAAGGAGAAGAAGATGAGTGGTTTGGTTAGAAAGTTCGGAAAATTGCTGGAGAAGAGAGAATTGAAAGACCCGGGAATGAAGCACCTTGTTAGTGTAATAGAAACACAGTGATGAACAAATACCATGATCGCATCATTCGATAAATATTGACACCTTCTGAGAGAGGGAAGGGGTAGGGGAGCATGGGACATTTATATAAAGTTAAAGACATACACTGTGAAAAGGTTGGGCAATATTTTCCAACACTCTGCCCAACGTTGTGCCAATAGCCAACCCAACCATCTATTGGGTAATATTCTGGCCAGTGGTATTGGTAAACTTAAGTACATGCATAATTGTTTCGTATTTTGCCCGACAGGAGGTCAAGATTTTCCCAACCAGTAGGCTACCTTAGTCGTGCAGTTGAAGGGTCATATCTTTGCCCACATTTTGGACAAAATACGAAACAATTATAGACGTGTGAAGTAGGGTACTTACGTTTACCAATACCACTAGGCAAAATATTGCCCAATAGATGGTTGGATTGACACTTGGCACAACGTTGGGCAAAGTGTGGGAAATATATTGCCCAAACTATCCACAGTGTAGACACTTACTTTCACGGTTACCCTGGAAGAAAATCATCTTCGGTTTTCCTTTCATGTACTTCATCCTAGAAACCTTATTCTCGATAAACTTATAAGTAACCGGTTCATCAGTGCAATGAATGCCTGTCGAGGAGCCGTTTCCCATGATCACGAACACTGCAGAGGGCATGTAGTGATGGCGAACATAACCCGCGAACGTCTCTAGCTTGTCTTGAAGGTCCTGCATAACAATTTACGAAAACAAAGCGTTTAATAGTCATTGAAGTTTAGATTTAATTTGAAGTTTAGATTTAATTTAAAGGGAACCAAAACCCTTCATACTTAGTTACTTTTATTGTAAAGTTTAAGATATTTGAATACAATCAGTGAAAATTTGAACAAAATTGGGCAAGGAATAAGGAAGTTAAAGCTTTTTGACATGACTAGTTACTAGAGGGCGATATTCAATTTGATGACATCATTTGTGGACAACTCTCCATACCTTTTGTATATTAAATTTCACAATTCTTTCGATTTCTTCGTATTTATTTGTGTTCTTGATCCGACTTCTTACCATGTGAAGTAGAATATCATTTTGCATTCTATACCTTGCTTTCCGGGAAGTAGATTATCTCAATAACAAGAAGGAAGGAACAACATGAAATTTGATGTACAAAAGGCATGGAGAGTTGTCCACAAATGATGTCATCAAATTGAATATCGCCCTCTAGTGATTAGTCATTTAAAACAGCTTTAACTTATTTCTTGCCCGATTTCGTTCAAATTTTCACTGATTTCATTCAAATATCTTAAACTTTACAAAAAAGTAACTTAGTATGAAGGTTTGGGTTCCATTTAAACATCAAATTACATTATTGTATAAAGGGACTTTTGTTTCGTTTAAGCAAGAAGTTACCTAACTTCTTGGTTTAAGGTGATATACCCGTCTACCTTCATAAGAAAAGATTATTTTCTCTCAAATTGAAGTTACCTAAAATTCAAATTCCAACGATGTATGTAGAATTAGGCAAAATTATTTATTATTTTGAATAAATATATACATTATTGCCCCTGAAGTTGAAATAACAATTTCAATTCAATCTTATTCGAATTAACATTTCTCTCCTCCTTTTATGAATTTTCTGTGATAATTTGATTTATTCGTGATAAATACGATTATATTTTATCCTCACAGAGGTTTATTCATGATTCTTCATGAGCAATCTTTATTGATCGAATAAGTTGTAAAATGACAAAATCTCTATATATCAATAAAACATCTAATTGTCACAATCATTTAATGACGAGAGGTTAGTATTCCAACTTTGGGGGAAAAGTGATCAACTGCTTGACACTATCAATTCCAATTGCATTATTGTTTGCATGTGGGGATGGAGAACGTATGGTTCGGATAGAAAATCCAATTTTATGACAAAACAAATTTGAGGCTAAATAAGATTTTTAAGTTGTTTCTGTTTCACGCCGCTAAGTTATATTATTAACAATAAAAGAACATTAGATCAATAAAAAAAAACATGCTCTTACCTCAGCTGTCAAATCCGAATGGGTTTCGATCTCATATCCTATTTCCGTGAACACGTGTTGAATATTTCGAACGTCGACATCTGATCCCTTCCTGTCTTTACTCATGTTAAAAAGGAACATGAGACCCTTTTCTTTATCGTCCATTTTGTAATTCTGAAATCGAGAAAATATTTTTGAATTTATATATTACTGTAATATATAAAAGGTTATGTTTAACTAATTTCCTTTAACATTGATCAATTTTCAGCAAATAGTGTTCACATAATTGATTACAGAATTTATCGTTATCTTAACAAGTCCTGTGCTGATCGTAGGACACAGTCTATAACAGGTTTAAACCTCGACTAAGCTTGCTGGGATGTTTAACTCATCAATGGAGTACATATTGTGAAGCACACAATCCCTTAAGCACTGCCATAATTCTGTAAATCAATGAACTAACCTTATTGGCCATTATGATATAAATATTTTATTTCATGACTACATTCATTTAAGATTTTTGTAACAGAAATTTGAGTTTAATGTTTCACTTTAACAAAAAAAAGTAATTTGAAGAGTCATAGACGAAGCCCGGGGAACCAGGGCGTCACGCCCCTCCTTGTTTATCCGGTTACATTTGTTCTCAAAAAGTTTGTCATCAGCTGTGTGATTACAACTGTGTGACTCCGTGATTTGTTTTCAAACTACAGGTATTAAAAAAAAGCGACAAGGAACGGGAATTTTCATGGCCCTACAATTATCTTTACTTTTGAGAAAAGGGTACAAGACTAGCATGACTTGAGCAACATATATGGGTCAGGGTCTGGTAGGCAATACATTACCTTATTTCAAAATTTGAAAATTCATGTCGATTTGAGGTTTGGGGAAATGACACCTCAATCTTTAGAAATATGGTTTGTTGAACTTGTTATCAATTCAATGTCCTTGTATCAAATATGAGGTTATTCAGTTCTCGTTAATGGGAATGAATTCTGTCTATTCGGTTTAGTTTCATACATTGTCAGGCAATATTTTTAGAAACCTTTTCTGGGTCCAGCTGCTCCTGAGAAGGGTAAGCTTGCTTCATCGTCTGTTTGTAGAAACCGTTGCTGTCAGGCTTAACTGTGAATTTGAATACATACAGGAGTATACTTGTATATGAATACTTTGAAGAACGGCTATAATGGCAAATGCGTTAAATCTCAATTTTACACACTGAGTAAGAAATTTGGATGTGTGAAACTATGTGGAGTAAACGGCAATATATCCTAGAAGAGACGGATATCTTGGATGGACAAGAAATCATCATCATAATTTTTGACGCCTATTAATATGTTAACTTACGAAATCACTGCAAATTCTATGCAACCGCCAATTCGGGTCACGTCATTATGAAGACATCGAGAGTTGTGTGGTCGAATATAATTTGGGACTGATAAATAGTCAAATTTCTTTTGAATTGAGAAATTTTGCATCCAAGTCCATTTTTAAAAGCAAGTGATGAATTAAAAACTCTTACGATTGTATATTGGCAATATGTCCACAATTATTTTGATAGCTTATGTTTTTTTAAAATGATTTGAAAGGCAATATAAATGTTTATCAGGCATTACGCACGTACCTGCTTTATGACCTTCCTCTCTCATCGTTTGAATATCAGTTCATTGCATAATTGATTAATAAAGGGTGTGTATGTGTTTGTGCGCGTGTTTTCGGTGCATGTGTGTGGTTGTGTGTGTATCTGCAAACAAAAGAAATTACATTTTTAATTTTGTTCATGATAGATAAATATAAGGATTTACCTTTTACTTGTAGTTGCATGGATTCCGGGTCGCCTTCTCCTGTACGTTAAGAAAAGTTTTAAAGGAAAATAGCCTTAGAAATTCGCGGTGAAAAGTATATTTGATCTTAGTCCATGTAAAGGGCATTGAAAGTATGATATGATGCGATATAGAAATGAAACATTCTTTGTCATTTTTATTGGCCATAGAGTTTCAAGACAACTCTCTTTGGTGTATTCATTTTTATAGCATTGTTATTTCGGTGCTCGTAGACGTTTATGTATGTCATTTATTTGTTGGTCTTTTAAAAAGGAAATTAGGCTTTAATCTAATGATATTACCCCAAAACATTTGAAAATTATATTTTCTATCAAAGTTTCGAATCAGATTCTATTTCGTGATGATCAAAGGCTCACCAAATACATCGTAACAGAATAGTATATTTCTTTATGTATTTGAGCGTCTTTGCCATATCAAATTACATTGTAGTCAGAGAAAAATAAAAAATATGACTCCATATCAAATAAATATTTTTCATTCGTTTTCTTCTGAGAGGTATTTTCTTTTCGTTGAAGGACTGATGATGATGAGTGTTCATAACTCAACCTAGTGATGACGAGCCATCAATATAAAAATACCTTGAATCCTCCGATGTTTCTTCCGACTCTAAAATATGTTGGCAGCACACACCCTATTTACTTCACTGATGTGTTTGGCTTTTGATAAAGAAATCTGAACTATTGATAGTACCCCATAACATTTTAACGTGATACTTTCTTTCAAAGTTGTTTTGTTTCAGATTCTATTCCGTAAAGATCAAAGGTTTACCAAAAACAAGGTATCGTATTAAGATATAACTGCATCCATTCAAACATCATCGCCATAATAAATAACATCGTAGTCATAGAAAAATCGGAAATATAACTCTATACAAATAAAACCCTGTCCATTCGTTTTGCACTACGAGTTATTTTCTTTTCTTTCCAATACTGACTATGATAAGTGTTCATAACTCAACCCAGGGATGACGAGCCATATATATATATATAAACATACCTTGACTACTCCGTTGGCTCCTCCTACGCCATAATACTGCACAACAAATCGCAGCCAGTATAAGAATGATAACGATAACTACTGGTACAACTGCAAATAGATTAAAGAATATCGTCAACGAATCAAACTTGTCGTCGATCACTTTTCTGTTAGACTCGAAATACTTAAATGTTAAATCACCATTTCGATCAAATTAGATTAACACTCTTAACATTCTGGATCCTACAGCATAAATGTTGATTCTACACGTAGACATAACATGGTAAAAGTGTTGATCTGACATTTTTTTTTTAAAGTGGTCAATCCTCAGCCCTTTAAAATTGTGATTTCACACTACAGTTTTCAGAGTGCATGATCAGCAGTTAAAACCACGTTTAATGTTTTCTTATGCGGTGAAACCCGCTCACATTCAGTCAAACGTCATCTGAAATGAGTGAAATTAAGTTCAATGTATAATATCCAACATTTGTGCGGATACTGTTTACTGATACCACAGGTGACAACAGTTTTACATTGTTTATCAACTGTCGAATACTGGTCGAATAAAAAGATAACAAAGACATTTCGTCTTGAATTCTTACCAACTCCACTCAGAGATAAAGTGGTAGATCCTATAAAGGTCACGGTCACAGTCACTGTTTTTTGGTCTTGCGATCCCGGGATATCAGAAGCGACACAAACATAGGGACTTTCACTCGGTTCAGCGGCGATGGAGATTGACTTGCTTTTCGTCCCGTCCATGTTAACATCTTCCTTGACATTAGTTGCATCCATCTTTTTAGATTCGTGTGAGAAGAAGAGATCGATGTCTGGAAAGTAGCTTGAGGCTGAGCAGGTGATGGTGATGTTATCAGAGGTTGAAAGACTACAGGTTTGTTCGGCATCATTTGGAAGTATTCCTCGACATTCATCGATAAGGGGAAAGGGTTCCATCGGAGGAGCTGCAAATGAAATAGTACACTATGACTCTATCAAGGAAAATCATGTCTTCATGTAGGAGAACTGTCATGTAACACACAAAGCTATTTATTCTAATTTAAATTTTCAGCTTGAATATATAACTATAACTATTAATATAAAGGTAAATATTGTAGTATATGAAAAATGATATTTTTCTTCCATCTATACTTGTTACATTCAACAACTATCATGATAACATGCAGGGGTAGTGTTACTTTACAGCATGGAGACTGTTATGAAATAACCCTCTTTTGGATTATTTCTCAGTCATACTTCAAAATGTACACAGAATGATATGCTTACCAAAGACGTTTACTTCTGTGAAATTGTGGATCAGGATTCCTTCGTAGTTTGTTACTATGCATGTATACGTTCCTTGATCTGAAACTGTAATGTTTCTGATGATGAGAGAGAAGTCATCGTTCATATAGCAGACCCCGTCAAGAACGCATGTCCCGGAAGTGGATCCCCCTTCCACCCATTTGATCAGGTTGAATGGCCTTGTGGACTCACCTCCTATCGTCCAGTTAACGGAAGATGGCGCTCCATAAAATTCGCATTTTAGAGCAAGCTCATCTCCTTTCTCCACATTTTTTTGTAAGTCGGTATACACAAAACCATCTGGTATATCACAATTCACACCTGCATTAAAAAGGAGGAAATAAGTGGTTTGTTTAATTCGTGACGTAATAATGTTATTCCATAAAGGCAACAAATAGCTTACTTGCAAAGAAACAGCATCTGGAAGTTATTAGCAATGACACCTTACAGAACCAACATATTCTAAACGCATCATGTTGTGTAGCAGAACCGTAATAAATACCGTGATATACGAATATATTCTAAAGCTAGATATAATCGCAATGAAATTTTTCGTCATTGCATTGTTTTCGTTTACATTCTTCTATATTAATATTCTTCTGGTTCTTGTTCTCGTCCGGAAATCTCATTCGTTTTGCACGTAGCGCTTGTTATTCTCTAGTTATTTCCTTTCCACAAGCCAGATTCCTTTCAAACTTCGTAGGCATAATTCCCGATATGCAATCTAGGTCACTACATTCCCCCCCCCCCCCCAAAGTACTCATGCGTAACAGTCCAGACGTCCAGTATTCCGATTCTTGTCCGTTTTAAGGCCTTTCTTTCTTCCTTCCTATCTTCACTATCCTAGATCCTACAGAATTTTAACATATTCCTCTAGATTGTCCGAGAGATGTTTTTTTTTTCATCTGCGATGTATAACCTCAACTTTAAAATGCCAACTTCATACTCGATTTTCAAATCCGGAACCTACTCCATCAAAAATCTCTAAAATTCTTGAAAAATGGACGCCTAAAAATCTAAAATTGTCACAACTTTCTCATACCAATTCCGTTTCGTCTCAATTTCTCACAGTATCCTTATCTCATAATTGTACATAACCATGCCATATTTCATGCTCAAATAGCTATTTAAAAAAAAAAAGAAGCTCCCTTTAAAGTTCAGGGAATTTGCTTTCTTTCTGTGGCCGTAGCTCTATCGTGTCCGGCCAAACCCGTTCTCTCTTTTTGGATATAGATACTAATATGACGTCCTTTTAAGGCACTGCCAGTACCTTAAAAGGACGTCACACGTATAGCAGTCCACTATTTCTGCGTACAAATCTAAAAGTCCCTAATACTGCTTCTTTTAGGGCGGTTACTTATGCCGCCATGACTGGTTTAGATAACAACGCTTCTTTTATACGTGTTTCAATGGCACATTGTAAGTTCTATTGTTCCTGTTTCAGTCGACTGACCAGTTGGTTTACCTTAGGACAGGGAGGGTTCTGATAGCCCCCCCCCTCTGCTTCGACCACCTGTTCGAAGTGACTCCTCGTGTCCTTTATTGGAATTCATGGTGGCTATTTTATCGACAAATTTTGTTAAATAATTAGGTGGAATAATCGATTTAATTACCTTTCAATCGTCCCATCACTATGACAATTTTTTTAAAAACAATGTGGCGAAAATATATCGAGCCACGAAGTCCAATAAAAGAGTAATTTTAGTCGTAATATATACTGTGGTTATTACGATGATAATAGCTGTTCTATGATAATTATATACATGCGGCTGATAACTTGCATCTCAATTAGAGTAGTCACATGAGTAGACACATGAAGTATCATGACATGCAATGCACCTGCATACATCGGGCCGCCTTTTCTATTAACGGTACGACAATGATCTGAATTTCATTTCACCAAAGCATGAAGTCAACAGCAAACAATGCAGTTGGAGTTACCGTGTACAGGTGAGCATCATTAGGGAGGATCAAAACCAAAGCCCCCAAGGATAGTGAAACACTCTGCACTTAATAATAATGAGAAATACTATTTATAAGAATCTATGATAAGAATCGACATATTTGTTGGTATATAATAGTGTTATATTTTTAATTGCCGAATGTGGAGCACCAGGATATGAAATGCTGAAACGGATATCTCAAGACCAAGTTACTTGGAGAGACACTTGATGTAGAATTCTGTTTGGGTCACTGAACCTGTCATACTGACAGATCACCATTGATGATGATATTACATAATTTTGTTTTTCTTGAGAGCAAAGAAATAAGATATAGCATACCTTATTATTGATGTAAACGGCTTTAAATAAAGTAGTACACCCCTGTATATTCGACGGAGGTGGGTTGAAAAACGGTCAAGGAAATACAAACATAATACTTGTGAAATTTATTAGGAATATCCATTGTTGTTGTCGTGTTTTTGGCTGTTTTTGACAGTAGTTTCGACTGTTTCTGTATACTGCTTGCCAACTTCTATGCCCGGGCCATTATTATAATCAGTATTAGTATTTATAACGATTTTGTGACTTCAGTATTTAAACGCCAATTAGTAGTGCTCTCACTTTCCATATAAATCTTTAGAGAGATAAAATCTGACATAATTAACATGTTTCAAGGATATAATTTAAAACAAAATCTATGTTTAACCACAATTACACACGGATAGCTGAACATCTCGCAAATAAGCAGATTTTCCCCGAAATAAGCGACTTAAAATCACAAATAAAAGGTGATGAATCTACTGTTGAATGATTATGTTGAGTTTAAATATGTACATCTTATTTTAATAGAGCAAAACTTTTACCTTTTGTAAATCATGAAGATCCTTTTTAGTCGATAAAACATACCATTAGTACGATCCAAAGTGCACGATTACAAACATCAAAATGAAATAATTTCTCACCTTTTTCATTGCTCGCTTCGCCCCCTCACTCGTCCCTTTGATGCCACATCAAAGATGCCCCATTGTCTAATAAATAATTAACTAGCAAGGGAGTTCAGAACGTGGATAAATGAAAAATTTGATGCGAGTGATCCAGTATACATGCAGTTATCAACTAAATTATTCATAACCTTACCAAGCTTATGTAATTTATGAAGTTCTTGATAAAATGTTTAAATTCAGATCTAAGTTTTTTTTGAGAGTGTGAAATATTAAAGCTCATATCGTATTGTATTCAACAGAGGTCCTTATTCAACCAGCCCACCTTTTATTATTTAGTAATGAAAAACACACAAACGGAAATATTTTCAAGGGGTAAGACTATTTGTTAGTCTGTTAATATTTCGCTCTTATACACATATCTTTGTAAACCTTCTGAAGTTTTAATTGATTTCCATTTGTGCAAGTAAACATAAGAAATAACATGTTGTATCATGTGCTAATAGCCAAAAGTTACCTGGAGTATACTCTATAAATAAATACTCTTCTAACTCTTCACATACCGTGAAAAACAAGACATTGAATATGAATATAATCCAAACAGAGCCGTTCCACATTGCATTCAAACACAAACATAATGGAGAAGGTGAATAAATAATATCGCAGATTATGAGTAGAAAGAATGAGAGGGATATACAGAGTGAGTCAGAAAAAAATGTCCCACTTTTCAAAAGTTGTATTGTTTGAAGTATGAATATTTAATCATGGGTTTCATGATATGTCTTGATAAAGTTATCCTTCCAGTACATTTAGGTATACCATTTTCATTTGAATCTCTGCATGCATGATTGAACATCAGACAATCTTCACAAGACTGCCAGATCTCACTTGCGCCAAGTTGCTAGGTGAGGAATAAAAATTGTTTTGAACAAAGACAGCCAGACAGACACAAACACACACACACACACACACACAACACCACACACACACGCACACAAATATGCACACGCACTCAAACACACGCACATCCACACAACAACAAAAGACATAGCCAACGATTGATAATGTACTTACGTAATGCGATAGCACATTGGATTCATGAGCACTTCATGTTGATGATGATGATAATGATAACGATTAAGATGATAACGATTAAGATGATGACAATGATGATGATGATGATGATGATATGATGGTGGTAGCGGGAAAGATTGTCAGGGCAATGCCACTTAAACATTCAGCGATCTTGATAAAAATGAATGCTTAAACAGAAAAGGGGAAATTATGAAACAATTGTTACCGTGTGTTTTGTGTGTGTGCGTGTGGGTGAGTTTGTGTGTGCGCGCGTGTGTGTTGCGTGCGTGTGTTTGTGCATGTGTGTGTCTGTCTGTCTGACTACCTTTGTTCAATGCACTGTTTTATTCCTCACCCAGTATCTTCGCGCAAGTGAGATCTGTCAGTCTTGTAAAGATTGTCTGATGTTCAGTCATGCATGCAGAGATTCAAATGAAAATGGTACCTAAATGTACTAGAAGGATAACTCTACCAAGATATTTCTTGAAACCCATGAGTAAATATTCATACTTCAAACAATACAACTTTTAAAAAGTGATACATTTTTTTCTGGCTCACTCTGTAGATGTACAATCATGGAACACTTTTGTACAAGCATGGTTATGCCAGACATGTGTCTAACTTGCATTATTACTTTTGATCGTATATTGATTCCCAGGTACCTTCTTTTTATGAATACAACATAATATGGTCCGTTTGATCAGATACCTCCAGTATGTATTGTCTTCCTGGGCCTCATCCGATGCTTCATAAAAGCGTTTAGAATTTACTTTGCGAAGACCACAAGGGTACAAAAGACTTGTTTGTTGTTGGTACAATTGAAAGCAGTTCATAAAAGTGAAGTAGTCAAACAGGTAGATTACCTCGGAGCCGCCCACTCGGTTTGGTACAACGTCTATGTTCTTAACCTACAGAATGCATTTCACATGCTCTAGTAGGCGGAGACAAACAAAAATTATCGCTCATTTTATTGTTATATTAGGCTGTGCATCGCTTGTCTCCCACGCTCAAACAAGATCATTTGTCAAAATTGAATGCAGATCATGTGAGTGAAGGAAATGTAGAAGCGCGTCAGATGATGACAATGAACTGGTAGTTGTTTTATTTTTCAAAACATATGCAAATAAAGGATATCTATTTCTGACTATCTCTCTCTCTCGAACGTTAAAAGCAATACCTTTTACTGGGTATTATA